CTCTATTATGGACACACACATTTACCTAAAAGAGGACATAACAGATACTTCTATTGTTGCTATATAAAACTAATTATATAACAACAACTAACTTAAAAAGCCACAAATTATAGCCAGAACATGCAGAACATCACCCTCATTTAGTAGCAAATGCTAAGACAGATTTTAAACTAAAATCTGGTTGACAAGTTTTTTTTTTAATTTTTATTTATTTATTTAACCAGGAAGAGACTCACTGAGATTAAAATCTCATTTCCAGGAGTGTCCTGGCCAAGATAGGCAGCCAAGTTTGCATATACAAATAAACAACGCAGTTACAACATACATTACAAAACCAACACATAACCAGTTAAAAACAATTACACACCATTAAGTTGCTCTCAAGATTACATAATAAAGACTTAAAATAATTATAAGACACCAAGTTTTGTAACTTCATCTCCTTTTGAAGAAGATTCCAATCTGAGGTTGCAGCATATTTAAAAGAGGTTTTAACAAGCTCAGTTCTAACAAAAGGTATACAGAGATTGCAAATTGACTGAGAACGCAATGAATGATTTCCAATTAAAGTTCTTTGTATAAAACAACAGAGATACTTTGGCAAATAACCCAAAATTGCCTTTTATATCAACAAATGCCAGTGCATTTTTCTCCGTATTCGCAAGGAAGGCCATGCAACTCTTTCATATAAATCACAATGATGAGTTGAAAATTTTCAAAACCAACTTCAAAGCATGAAACCTGTTTTGGATAATATCAAAAACAGACTGTAATGCAGCCACAGATTGTTGTGTAGAGGGAGCTGAACAGTATACAATAGTATAATCTGCATAAAAATGGAACCGTGCTTTATCAATATTAAAATCAAGGCAATTTATATATATATATACTGAATAATAATGGTCCCAACACAGATCCTTGCGGAACTCCCTTGACAACCTCTAAAAAGTCTGACTGAACACCTTCCACCTGGACACATTGGGTTCTACCCTTTAAATAAGCAGTGAACCATAAAATAGCATGTTCTGATAGTCCTACCCATCTAAGCCTATCTAATAATATGTTGTGATCCACAGTATCGAAGGCCTTTGATAAGTCAATAAAAAGACATGCACAATGTTGTTTATTATCTAACGACTCCACAATATCATTTAAAACTTTTAAGGTGGCTGTAGTAGTACTATGTCCTTTACGGAAACCAGACTGATTATTAGACAGAATGTTATGACCATTTAAATACTGTGTCAACTGCTTACTTACTAAATTTTCCAAACGTTTTGAAAGAATACAGAGCTTAGATATAGGTCTATAATTATCCATTAAGGAAAGATCACCCCCTTTTGACAGAGGAACAACAATGCTGATTTCCAGATCTTAGGAATTGTATTAGTTATTAATGAAAGATTAAAAAGATATGTCAATGAAGGAGAAATAAAATCAGCAGCTAGTTTTAAAAACAGCGGAGCAACATGAAGTTGTCAAGTGTGTGCCACTCAGGTCCTGACTAGCAAGAATAGAAATGTGACAACCAATGAAATTGCAAAAGAGCAATAAATAAATAAATACATAAATACACAATAAAAGGTACCATATTTAAATAATTTATTGGCACAAGTTTTCTGTTTCACAAAGTAAAGCTAAGGAAACTTTCTTACAGGTGAACAGAGCTCCACTTAATAGTGACTATCCTTAAAGATATCTATATCAGTGACAAAATGGAGGATGCTCATGTTTGCTACGTGTGTGCAAGTGTGTTTCTGCATACGGTAAATATGGGCAGGGGGAGAGAGAACCTTTCATTTGCAGTAGCCATGTGGCTTTAGCCATCTGTTGACGTGGTCTAAATTAATTAGTTGAACTCATTACAATTTTGCAAGGGCCCTCTAGCTTTAATGAAACAGTCTGCAGACACAAGCTGAGATCTTTCTCTTTGCTTTCTTTGCTTTTCTCAGTCATATATATATATATATATATATACACAGTGGTGTGAAAAGGTTTTACACACACAAGCATATATACATTACATATAATTTAACACATTTGCTCACCAATGAATCTTCTATAGTGAATGGGTGCCATGAGAGGACAAACAGCTGAGAAAATGTGTGAAGCAAAAAGGTGCGTGTTTGTAAGAAATAAATCCATTAAGACATTTTTAACTTCAAATCGATGCTATCAGCTAAAACATGAGTCCTCGATCAATAATATTGCTTTCTCCAGCAATTAAAAAAAAGTTGTCTCATCTGAATCAGGAGAGAAATATGCACAAATCAAGTACCTTTTACAAGTGAAAACAGTCCAAAACAGTTCTAAACAAATATGTCGGTGGATTTTGATGTGAGAGGACAATAAATGATGGACTTTTTAACTAAAGGAAGCATTATTATAGATTATGGACTTGTATTTTGCATATCTTACAAACACACAGTGGATTATTGTAAAGATTTTATCAGCCGATTCAAACGGTTCTGATGGCACCCATTCACTGCAGAGGATCCATTGGTGAACACGTAATGTAATGTTAAATTTCTCCATATCTGTTCTGATTAAGAAACACACTTATATTCATTGGATGACATGAGGGTGAGTACATTTTCAACAAATTTTTATTTATAAATAAACTCAGTAGTACAGTACAGTACAGCAGTAGCACATAAAACATATTTTGTAGTCACAAGATAACTTTGTGAGTTGTTGTTCACATTTAAATATTTGACTCGCTGACAGTCTTCGTATAATTTGCCAACACATTCGTTGTTCTTGGTATTCTGACAATAAACATCACAAAGCCAAAACTCCAACAGATTTGCTAACAGACACACCTTTCCATTTCAGCCATACTGTTGCTGTCTACTTTTTCTATCTCTGTTTTTCTCTATCCAGAGGGAGTGTTCAGTCAGTAGCACCAAAGACACAACAGATGGGACTCAACATCATCCATGAGCGAGAGGGACAGTGAGTGAGCGAGAGAGAGAGATAAGACAGACAGAGAGCGAGAGAGAGAGAGAGAAATAAGCATTTATTATTTACACCACTCCATATTGGAATATTAATGCTAAAAGCAATCGGGCGACTCTTCATTAAATTAACTGGAGATGCAGAGAAAAGGAGAGAGAGGGAGGCAGAGAAAGGGAGGCAGAGAAAGGGGAGAAGGCACATGCTGTTAAAAGGCCCTAAAATTAGTGAAGCAAAAATGAATCCATTAAGGCTTCCATTCTCCCCTCTATTCCTCTTCCTCTCTCAGTTCTCTTCCCTGCACACCTCACACGCTCCCATTTAAAAAACTGCTGCCCTGGCAGCACGTGCACACTTAAAACTGTTTTTCCATGTCTTTTCAGAAATATGCATTTCTGTGCTGTCCACTTAAGTGCCTGCTCAAAATTTAAACATGGTGGCCCATACTTCTTCTGCTTCCATTTACATCCTCTTTTCGCTGTATCTTCTTCACTTTATCTATTCATGACCCCACCATTCAATTCTTTCCATTTTTTAATCCCTCCTTCATCTAAATGGCATTTTTCTATAGATTAATGCGTGCACCAGATGTGTACGTGGTGAGGGTGCATCTGGCATTACGGCATGGGATATGCGAATCCTTAGAGTTAGCGGCCCTTGTATTTATGCACATACACAAACACACTTGCATGCCAGCATTAGAATCGGCAGTGTCTGCTTGGCAACACGGTGCGTGTGTGTACAAGCAGTCTTCCTATTAGCTGAGCGCTGGTACGCACTGTTGATTTATCAAGAGTGGGAAAAAAACATACATTTAATCTCCCTGGCATTACACGTTGACGCTCCAGTTAGACATCCCAACATACTGTCAGAGTTGCTATGGCACCCGGTCCATATGTGTGAGGTGGCTGCTGTTAGTCTTAAAATAAAACTGGGTTATTCTGATCTGACTGTTTGCGGTGCTAAGCTTTGCATTAATACACACACTACTGCAGCTTTTAATGATCTCAGCTGTTTCTGAAATAATGCTTTGAAACAAAAACACGTTTGGTGAGAAAAACTGCTCGCACAAAAGCGAAAAGATTTGATTGAAAATTTGCATGCATTAAAAATTATTTGATATCAGTCATCATTGATCATCTCTCTTTTAAACCTCATCTGAAGCCAACCATTTGGTTTGTGTTAAAAAAGACTGAAATTTACAGCATTATTCACTGAAAATCTTTTCTCTCAAATTGTATTTATGCATTTGCATAACAAAACTAGGTGCTTCAAGACGTGTTGCACCAGATCTGATTCCAACAACACCAAATGCCTTCATGTGTGTTACAATGTGGAAAGTTTGAATAAGCTTCAATGTCTTTGAAATACTGTATTAAGCCTTGTGAAAATGAAGTGCAGTTAATTATTGAATTTACACTTGTAATGTACCTCAAATGTTGAAATATATATATAAAAAAATAATAATAATAATTACTTGCAGAAAACATTAAATATGAAATTGAAATATGGCCACTTAAGTGTACTTAAAGAAAGCACTCTTTCATGACTGTTTCTTACACTTCAGTACACTTTTAAAAAAGTGCACTTTGTAATATTGTCAAATTAAGTTTACTTTAAATTTACATTTTAAATGATTACATTTTGTTGACTAACATATTAATGTCCCGCTCACTTGGGGGAGGAACGAGGAGACGGAGGGGAATTTATAATGAACCAGGAAAACACACAGAGGAAACGGGTAACAACATTCAGACTCGACAAAGAAACATTTGACAGACTACGCTTTAAATACCAGACATAACAAGGGAGTAAATTAAACGCACCTGAAATCCAATCAACAAACACAGGAGGAAACAAAGAAACTAAATGAAATAATCAGGACAGGAAATTAATTAAAAAAAAATAATAATAAAATAATGGCTAAACACTGTGACACAGGGAGTACATGGGGAACAAAACACAACACAGGCCTGACATGACGCCCCCCTCCGGAAGGCGTGTCCTCGCACCAAACAACATCAAAGGAGTGGGAGGGTGGGCACCTTGGCGATCCTTAAGGACAGGCTTGGACGGAACGGGATGCCCCAAGGCGGTCCCAGATCCGGGCGCCATGGCGGAGCAGGTAGTTTGGGAGGCCATGGCAAAGCAGCCTCCGAGGCCGCGGCCCCAGCCCCCGCCTCGGTCTCTACGGCTGGAGCCCTACTACCCCCCCCAAAAAAATACTTGGGGACACTTACAGGTTCCGAGGCCCTCCGTGGGCCATGACAGGGGACTGGAGCCCTCCCTGGGCTTAACTGGGGATCTGGAGCCATCCCTGGGCTCAACTGGGGATCTGGAGCCCTCCCTGGGCTCGATTGACGATCCAGAGCCCTCCCTGGGCTCAACTGGGGAACAAGGAAGCGCTTACGAGGAGCTGGCACTGGAATCTGCTCTGGATCCCTGGGCTCAACTGGGGATCTGGAGCCCTCCCTGGGCTCGATTGACGATCCAGAGCCCTTCCTGGGCTCAACTGGGGAACAAGGAAGCGCTTACGAGGAGCTGGCACTGGAATCTGCTCTGGGGCTGGAGCCGACACTGGAGCGAGCTCTGGGGCTAGGATTAAGGCAGAGAACAGTCCTTTCTCTTAATCCTCCTCAGGTAACGGGGGAACTGAGCAGCCGGCGGGCTTGTCGTTGCAGTAACTGGCGGGCTTGCATCAATGGTGGCCGGCGGGCTTGAGAGAGCAGACTTGACAACAGCGCGGCTGGCAAGCTTATCTGTTGAGAGACTGGTCGTCTTGACTTCAGAGTGGCCAGCGCTCCTGGGCTGAGGACCACGGTGGAGCTTTGGAGGACCGCAGGGAATTTGGGGTTAGGCAGGCGATAGAAGCTGTTGGAGAGGTATGTGGAGGTTCTCGGCGTGGGGTAAGCTGGGGAGATGCGGTGCGTTCCTGCGAGAGTTGTATGACGAGGCTTGGGAAGTTTCTTTACTTCCTCCACTTCCAAATCTGAACCATTTAAGAACAGCACGATGATTTATGATGACGCATACTTTTATTCTTTAACATTGAACCAGGAAAACACACAGAGGAAACAGGTAACGACGTTCAGACTCGACAAAGAAACATTTGACAGACTACACTTTAAATACCAGACATAACAAGGGCGTAAATTAAACGCACCTGAAATCCAATCAACAAAGACAGGTGGAAACTAACAAACTAAATTAAATAATCAGGACAGGAACAGTGTTGCCTATTTAGCTACTTTGTAGCTATATTTAGCGATTTCCCCGCCCCTTTTGAGACTTTTTTCAAAAGTTTAGGGACAAATATAGCAACTTCTTTGGACAAACCTTATCTAAGTTCTCATCTTGCCCACTGATTTACGTTCATCTTTATATAGATCAGTGAATTTGCCATTGGGATGTCATCTAGTGACATTTAGCTACCAGTTTTAGCTACTTTCAATTGAAAGCAGTTGGCAACATTGGACAGGAAATTAACCAAAAAAGGGCTAAACACTGGGACAAAGGGAGCACATGGGGAACAAAACACAACACAGTCCTGACAATTAAAGCACATGTAAAGTACTCCATTATCATAAAATTATGAAGTTAATATGTACATAAGTTATATTTAAGTATTTAAAAAAGAACTCTAAGATCCAGCTCATTGCATTTAATACAAATTAAAACTATAATACATTTCAATTTAATTGCAATTAACTTGAGTACATTCTTTTAAAGTATATTATTTCTGTAATAAGGACTCTTAAAAAGTATTCTAAAGACTGACATTTTTTGAAAAGGGAAGTTATTTAGTTTAGGGCTGCACGATAAATCACATGCGATATTTAACGCGCATCTTGTCAGAAAGCCGGTTCTGTAATCAGCGCTAAATCTCCATCACATTCATGCTTTCACATGGAGCAGCATTAACTACACAGAGCCATTGTTCACAGACGAGAACATTTGATTTTCAGTGAATAACAATGTAAGGTTTTGTCTGTTCTTCACATGGTTTCTTTTTGGAGCTTGAAAGCAAGTAGTTACGATGTATATATATATATATAT